ATGAATGTTCAATAAAACAAACAAACATATTAGAATATTGAATTAGTTATTTAGTCATAGTAATATAATATTGCATCAGCTTATCAATTTAAATTAATGAATGTTCAACAAGATGTTAGATACTTGTTCAAAGGCTTAATTAATCAAAGCTATTTTAAATAATAAATAAAATCAAAAAACATACACAAAATAAAGAAATATATGAGCAAAAAACAACTTAAGAAGAAGCAACACGAACTTCTTATAGAGAAAGAAGAAAAATTACTTTAGAAGAAGCTGAATAAAAAGTTGATCTAGTCTGCCTATTAATGCTAGTAAAAAGTGAATGCAATTAAGATTCTTGAAAACAACTTAAAAAATTCTTAAAAAACTCTCTAGTAAATTGAACAAAATATTCAATAAAAACCAGATAGTTACTTAAAATTGGCAGAAAACATAGGTATAACTGTTGAAAGCCTCTTGGAAGCTATCGAAAAAGGTTTACCAGAAAATGTGGCTGATATTAAGGTAGAGGATGGACCTTCTCACTTTCTATTAAGTAAACCAGAAAAAAAAATATTCAGTCAACACAATGACTAATTAAATGATCTGATTTAAAGTTCTTAATACATTTGGAGTTCTCTCAAACTTAAAATGCCTTTGGCTGAAGAAAACAAAATAAAGATTATTGATAACTTCTTAGAGAATTTAAAAAATGTAGATACTAAGTTATACTCAAATTTTGTTTCAAAGATATCTTAATCGAATACTTTCTAACAACTTTAGCATATTTTTATCAAAGAATATACAGGTAATTAATATGGTTTAATTAACTCTATACTTACTTCCAATGATCCTGTAAAACTTTCAGCTATGAGGGAATACATTAATATAGCTATTAAAGCCTATCAGGATGGTAACGTGGGGACAGTATATAATAACAACAAGATACTTTATAGAAACTTTAGACTTCCCAAAGACCTTATAAGTTTGTATAAATAAAACAGTTTTATTTACTTTACAAATATGACATCTACTTCTTAATTAGACTTAGAATCATTTGGATAGCCTGATGCTTATAATTTTGGTATTAAGCTTCAAATCTCTTTTCTAGATTTACAATAACAAAAAAAGAATAATCTTTACACAGGGATAGAAGTCCACAGCTTAAGCTATTATCCAAATGAAAATGAAGTTCTAATATTACCTTACCAGCTATTTTAAATTACGAGCGTCAAGCAGAATGGATAAGACAGGTTCATTATCAATTTAAGGGAAGTTGATAATAAGATAATCTTAAACAATATTAAGACACCTCAACATTTACCTACTAAACCTTCTTAGCCAGCTGATAAAAAAAAATTATAAGAAATAATTGCTTAATCTCAAAGTAAAATGTAACAAAAGTAGGAATCTTTAAAATAAGAAAAAATACAAGTTGCTTGTAACTTTTAACAGTAAGCAAAAGATTTCATTAAGAAAAATAACATCTAGTCAATAAAAATTCAAGATTCTTAACTTACCGACATAAAAATCTCTTCTATTTAAGATATCTAAGCACCTTAAGAATAATAGTTTTAAAATAACCTAGATTGTGAAGAAGAAGAAGAAAAAATAGAAGAATCTGTAGAATACAGTAACAACTAAATTAATTTTACTAATCTTAATAATGAAGACAAATGTAAATTGCTTTAACTTGCAGAAAATTTTGATGATCTGATCAATAAACTTACAGATTAAGAAAATGTAAACAATCAAAACATTAAAGAAGGAAATAAATAAGTAGAAAATATTCTAAAAGAATGGATCCTAGTTAATATCGAAGAGTAAACTTCAAAAGATATTGTAGAAAAAAACTAAGAAAAAATAAAAACTCAAGAACAAACTCTGATTTAGCAAGTCAGTTAAAATAAAAACTTCTTAAAGTTTTTGAATATCTAAAAAAATTAAGAATTTAAAAATTACTAATTTTTACTTCATTTGGTAAATAAATCTTACGAACAAATAAATTAGCAGGCTCTATTTAATGACAAAATCCCAGTTTGTTTGCAGAATAAATTTCTTTAAAGATTTGCATTATCTTCTTAAGATAATTTCTTTCATAAAGTTTACTTCGAGCATCAGAATGCAACACTCAGTCTTCAAGATCTAAAAAACCAACTTACTAACTTATTCTTTAATAAATATCCTTCTAGTTAACATAATTACCTGGAACTTACTTGTATTTCAGATAAACCAGAAAGCTCAAACAAAATGTGCAATAGCTTTTTATTCTAAACCAACATATCAATAGAAGAAATGCTTGATCTAATTATTACTTTGCCAATAAAAGTTAAATAATAAATTAAGGTGTAAAAGCACAAGTATCTATAACTATCTAACTAGTTTTTCGATTGCAGAGGAAACATGAATTATTTACATTAATATAATTAGCCAGAATTTAGAGGTAATTTAGTTTATAATTTTCCTAACATTTGCGTAAGATTAGGTTTAAGTGTCTTAAATAAATTTGACGATGGTAACAATGCTTGGCTTAGCATGGATAACTCTCCAGGAGAGTGGGCTGTTGTTTATACCTGGATAAGTGAAATCAAATTGTGTTCCCTAAAATCTGGCACTAAGAATGAAAATAAATATTCAAAGCAGTATGAATTTATTCCTTAAAACGCTCTCTAATGCAGCTAAAGCATAGAAAATCTTTAAAAATTTATTTAAAATCCAATTTTGATTGGCTCTTAAGCTTTCATAATAGCTTATTAGTGCAGAGCAAATACTACTGAAATTCTACTTTCCACTGAATATCCAGATGTTAGTTTTTTAGATAGAAGCAAAATGGATACTATCAGGCCATACGGAATTATTATAAAATAAGTATATTGAAGTATACTTGATTGCATTATAATTATTTTATCTAATAATTATTTAATTTTATCAACAATAATTAATTAAAAAAGCGTTATATTTTATTTAGTAATTAACTCCTTATTTTTCATTCATTTTTAGGTCCCTTTTATATTTATTACAAAAAATATCATCCATTCCTTCTGTGATACCATTAATAATTTAAGAGGAATCATTTAAAATTTATTTATTTCTATGATAAGCATGATATATATAAAAATAATAAATTATTAAGTTGAAAATCAATACTTTTTATTATGTAATACTTTTTTATTTTTTAAAACAATAAAGCAGTTTTCTATTTTAAAAATTCTTTATCTTAAGTTTAAATTAATAAATGATAGAGTATATATATATTTTACCTATTATGATAAATAATTATAAATTTATATTAGAATTATAAATAGTAATACTAATAAGAATAATTATAATAGTAATTAATTATTCTTTATTTCTATTTTAAATACATACTGCATGCATCCAAAAAAATTTATAAAAATTATAAAAACTCTGTTTTAAATATAGCAACATGCCATACAAAAATTTCGTGGTTTGCATGTCACTTATTATGAAATAGATTTTTTAGTTATTTATTAACAAATCTGATTTTGATATTTAATAAATAGAATTATAATTAATTAATTAATAATTTAATTTATTATAATTTCAAAAATAAATCAATTTTTTACATCAAAAAATTTAAATTTAGCTAAATTTTCTAGCTGGTGGGGTAGACAAAATACAGAATTTTGGGGCAATTTCTGTCTGTAGTGATTAATATAATAACTTAACATAAATGTAAAATTAATATATTTTAAAATACCTTCCTTTAAAGTTCTTACTTTTATTTTGATCAAAAAAAAAAACAAAACATATTTGCTATTTTATTTAATAAAGAGCATAATATTTTTAATACTTTTTAATAATTCCTTCATTATTTTTTAATAAAAAAATGGCTGAGTTTTTAAAAAATGTCAGATTTAATTATATAATTTTTTAAGACTTCACAGTAGAAATTTTTAGAAAAATGCTAAATCAACTCAGTTTCATAATTGTTAAAAATCCTAATAAACGATAACTTTCTGAGTTCATTTAGATGTCTTTTAAAAATTATAAAGAATTTTTTTATAATAGAAAACAAATTAGTAATTTCAAATAACATTAGATTTTGAATATAAATAGAGAAATATAATAAAAATAAGATGGAATTAAATTTATTTAATCGAATTAATAAGAAAATATTTTACTGATTGATTAATGAAATTTATATTAGATTCTTTAATTAATTAATGCTTGAAATCCTAACAAAAAGACTATTATGTCCTATTTAAAAGTAAATAGTAAAAAGAATGACTTTGCTTTATAATAAATATCTGATTTACTTAAATTTTACTTATTAAAATAGAGGTTTTACAATTTTATTATTATTTATAAAAAACAAACAAGCAAAAGTATTAAAGCGGGCTAGATTTTAAGATGGATTATAGCAACGTAGAGTATATTAAAATTTAAGCGAATGATGAAAATCAATACTTCTTATCTAAAGATGTTGCCAACCTCTGCGGATAGTTTAGAGAGTTTATTAGTATATAATTAAACAATCCTAATAGGGGAGAATATATCACAATTACACTCAATATGGCTGGACCAGTCATTGAAACTATAATATAATATTTACATTACAAGTATAAATATTTAAGCGCAGATGTTAAAACAATACCAAAATTTGATATACAACCTAGCCTTGCATTACAAGTGCTAAATGCTTCAATAGAGCTGAATATTTGATTATTTAAAGAATATTTTTAAGATAATAATTTAACATTTATGCATAAAATGTTATAAAATAATGAGTAATTAATTGATCATATTTTTGTAAACTCTTTGTTAGGAAAAGTATTCAAAAATGTAATAAATAAATAAATAAATAAATAATTAATCCTAAATATAAAAAAATTAATATTTTATTTAAAGATTTTATTTTCTTTTTTCATTTGAAAAAGGAGCATTTTATTTGTCCATTTATCAAAACAACTATTTCATAATTGCTTGTAAGTAATTATTAAAAACAAAAGCAAGTAATCTAAAAAACAAGAGTTTGTTTGTATCAATTTAAACACTATTTAATTAATATTTATCAGTCACTTAATATATTTTGATTTAGTAAGTAATTATTATTTATTGATTTATTAATTAATTTATTTATTTGTTTAGTTTAAAACTAAGTGTAAAATTTAGATAGAATACGTTTCTTAGAATACTGCAAACAGAAATTAGAGTTTATTATAAAATATTTTAAATTAGACAAGTTAGTTAGTTGACGTTAATGAGTGAAGAAAGAGATAAATAGCTGAAATAAGAAGAGAATGATTTAATTACATAAATAGACCGCTTAGAGAGGGGAATAGTTTTAAGAGAAAATTAAATAAATTCAATGAAGTCTATGATGATAGAAGTTAAAGCCTAAGTTTCTGAAGCAAAAATGAAATGCGATCAATCTGATTTAAATATAATTTAGCTAAATAATTAAATAAAAATAAAGGATTAAGATCTTAAGCAAGTATTGAGAGATAAAGAGTTACTTTTTTCAAAATTGCAGACATTAGAAAGAGAATGCGATAAAGTTAAAGAGTCAATTGAAGAATTGAAGCATTAAATCTGATTATTTTAAAAAGAAATCATGAAAATTAAAATAGAGCTAGAATATAAATTAGTTTAATAATTAATATAAAACCTTTTTGTAAATAGAATTTTACTTTATATTAAAAAA